AAGATCCTCCTGTTGCAGATTGGATTACATATCGTCAGGATCTACAGACTATTCCAACGGAACTTCTGTGGAGACATCGAGACGGCATGGAAACATTTTCAACAGAACCAGAAATTCAGGATGGACCTGGACTCAAGGACACCTTACCTGGGCGAGGATGAAAATGGTGAACTCATTGAACCAACTGCACAACAGATGAAAGAGCTCTACAAAGAGATCGGCCGACCAAATCAAAAGGACGACATCGGAGAAGAGGGATTCGTCAATGCATACTATGGGGCAGTGGTACTCAAAAGACTTCTCATATATACCCTTGAATGTGGCTACACGTATGATGACTTGCAAAACATATTCTTTGATGAGGAGATGGAGAAGCTGTCGAAACGTGACACCACAATGGATGAGATGAGAAAGACCACAGCGGCCCGCGACGCCCTTGACCGACAAGACGTCATGGTCAGAAGAATCATTGCAGGTGCATATAGGGTAAATGCTGTTTATTTCTTCAGGAACGTTGACTTTCAAGACACAATCACACTGAATCCAGTTGACATTGTGTGTGCTCTTCGTCCACCACTTCGAAGAATATCACTTTTACACCTGATCCTTCAGAATGGCCGACAATTGCCGCGACCTCTACTCCAAAAGCTATATGATGCGATCGATGACTACAATCACATCAAGCAACGGGAAGATCAACGACCAAGGTGGGGCATCCACTTGTCTGAAGCTCACATACTTGCGATTGCTGATACCCCGACTCCTGCTGATCGTGAACGTACCAATCCAGCCGCTGGCAAATCGAAAGCAGCCCCGAAAGCTGCACCAGCACTGGGAAGAGTGTCGAAAGCGAAAGCATCATCGTCAGCGACATGGAGAACAGTTGAAACCGCTCCTCCGCCAAAACAAGCTCCAGTGACCCCGCCAAAGAAGGGTGGAAAAGACCAAGGAAAAGGTGGAAAATCTTATTCACACCGTGGCGGAGACTGGAACCATCAGGGATACTATGGATGGGGAAATAGATGATTAAGCGATCTGACCTCTGCATAGGTCCCGATTGAACCTGGCGATGCGAGGATGCAATCATTGCTCGAGATTTACCTCTACTTCATTTTGAATGATTTCTGAGAGGACTCTGAGCCGGCTAATTTAGAACCACACATTTTTTTTGAACATCATTGCATGAAACGCTGAGTTTCTACAGCGGTCTACGTCTCAACCGACGAAGGGACGGGAAGGTAAACTTCTAGTTCCATAGTCAACTTCGTGTTTTGATTTTGTAATTCACCTGCTTGAGTGGGATTCCATGCTGGCTACGCCACATTGGATGAACCTCAACGCTAGACACCGACTACGTCGTGTCTACATGCACGTGAACAGAACCTTTATCTTTTGGTAGAGATTGTAGCAAGCCGCCATGTAGATATGAAGTTCTGAAACGGACTTTAGCTCTCCATAATTCAACAAATGAATAGCTGCAAATATATAGTGGATCAATTCGAGGGACACTCCTTTGCGCGTAGCCAACAAAGTTGGCTATGCGTGGGGGGTGCGAATAGAGTGTAAGCTACGGACCAATGTACATTATCACATAATTCACTCTAAGACTCGAAGCCAAAGGGTTGTGACAATCGCCCTTTTGGCTCAAGACCCACTGCAGCAACAGAGAAAAGGAACGCCATGCGGAAGCTGTCGTCTTTGTGAAGTCATTACTGGAACAACAAACATCAACATCAATTACTGGAATATAATCGGACAGGCAATCCCCGATTCGCATATATACATATATATATACATTTAATACATATACGTACATACACATACATATACATACATACATACACATTCATATACATAAATATTCATACATAGACAGACATAGACATACATAGACATTAGACATACATAGACATACATAGACATACATAGACATACATAGATATACATAGACATACATAGACATTAGACATACATAGGCATGCATAGACATACATAGACATTAGACATACATAGACATTAGACATACACATACATAACATAGACATACATAGACATACATAGACATACATAGACATACATACACATACATACATACACATACATACACACACACAGATATACATACACAGATATACATACATGCATACATACATACATAAATACATACATACATACATACATACACATACACATACATATATACATTTAATACATATACGTACATACACATACATATACGTACATACATATTCATATACATAAATATACATGCATACACAGACATAGACATACATAGGCATACATAGACATACATAGACATACATAGACATACATGGGCATACATAGACACACATAGACATACATTGGCATACATAGACATACATAGACATACATAGACATACATAGACATACATACACATACATACATACACATACATACACACACACAGATATACATACACAGATATACATACATGCATACATACATACATAAATACAT